GTCCTTGGGAGACCCCACTACTTAAACTTCTCAAGAACCTGAGATCAGGTTAACCAAGGAATCACCTCTCCCTTGTTAAAGCTGAGGTGGTGGTGGGGACTGCTATTGTGATTTTGTTATTATTCCGCTGTCTGCTTTCATGCTTTCTATTACGTTTTTATTATTGATGTTCCATAAAATGTGTTCTTAATGTTGTACACCGCCTTGAGAACTTTTGATAAAGGGCGATATATAAATTGAATAAATAAAATAATAATAATATCAGATGAGGCTACTGCTGAAAGTACCACATGCCTTAGAGGTGCATTTAGTTTGTACTAGAAACTGGACTTTTTAGTGTTGCAGCTTCAGCCCTCTGGAATCAATTACCAACCAAAATTAAACACACACATCCTGTTATTCGTTTATTGAATTTATATCCCTAACTTCCTTCCAAAGGAGCCCAGTGTGGGATATAAATTCCCAATGAGGTGCCTCCTAAAGAAGTTTTCTTGTAAAATATGAATAGTGCACTTGTAGAAATAGTACTTTTCATTCATAGAGTGTGTGGGAAATGCTTTAATTGTTTTTTTTTTTAATATTTGGGGTTTATTTATTTATTTATAACTCATATACCACTTTGATGGCCTCAGGTAGTTTAAACATTTCAATGATATAATCTCTCCATTGTGAAAACTGTCCATTTATTCCTACTCGCTTTTCTTTAGCCAGTTACCGATCTGAATGATGATCTGCTCTTTTATTCACGACTATTACGTTTGTTCAGAAACCTTTGTTGAGAAGCTTTGTCAAACATTTTTTTTTATAAAAGTCCAAGATCTAAGTGAAGTGGATAATCCTTATGCACATGTCCAAGATAAAAACTTCTGGTGAATTCTAAACTGTTAGCAAAACAGGACTTGCCTTTGAAGAAGCCGTGTTGATTCTTCAGCTTCATGGGAACTTTGTTAGAGTTTGTTAAATGTTGACATTGCTAAGACATAATGGTCCCGAGGTAGCAAACTGAGTAAAAGCACCACAGCTTTCTCACCAGATGAAACACCATTATCACTATGAGTTTTAACACAATGAGAACAGAATGAGTGTCTATGGAAAAACACATAGATTGGTAATCTCTTCCTTCCATTGAAACAGAATGATTCAGTAATAAGAGACAGAGCAGCAATTACCAAAAAGTATCAAACCAACCTTGGCTGTGCATTTCGCAATGTTTTAGGATGCATTTAAGGAACGAGGAAACTTCTCCACATATGCTAAGCTGGTCATCTGTTTTCACATCTCCTGCTGAGGACTGGAAATGCGGCTTGAAAAGCTGGCATTGCGCTCACTTCAGAAAGAACCATTTCCATCCTGCCAAAGAGACAGGCAACATTTCCCAACCAACCCATTATCTGAAGAGCTCTTCACATCAGTTGTTCCACAGAAGAATTTTTTCTTAGCCTTTCTGCGTAGTCTTTTAATTTATGTGCTGGGTGCCAGTTTCACTCTGCTCTACAGCTCAGAAGCCAGTTTCTTGATTAAAGGCAGAAACCAAAAATACACATTTCTTCACATTGGAATGGAGCTTCAGAGAAGGTGTCCTCATCCAAGAGAACAGATGTATAGGAAAAGAATATGGTGGGGATCCAAAGTGCCTCATGTAGATGCCTAAATGCTATCGTGCTCTCCAGATGTCCCATCCCTAACTCCTTGTGATTATTGGAGGCTGTCCCAGGGCTTCCCTTCTGTTCTGATACAGCTTTGTGGAGTGTTCAGTAAGAAGGGAACATCAGCAAAAGTCCCTGTGGGTGGACGGCAATTGTGAGTACAGAGACTCCTGAACTCAGTTTCACCTTTAGCTCCTTGCCCCACATTATCCCCAGCTACAGAATGGGGCTAAGAGGGGCCCATCTCGTAGCGCTATTGCAAGAATGACTGAGAACATGTATGAATTGTTTTTAATCTTCAGTTGAAGTGTTGAAGATGAAGGGCTATTTTTAGATGTGTGCAGAGCTGATTTTTTGTTTGTAATACAAAGGGAAGAGACACAGCATGGCATTGTTCAAACCAATAGAACTGCTCTAGAGTAAGGAAGGAATGCTTTGGAAGGGATATTCTAGAGGCGGTCATGTCGGAAAATATTTTGCCAGTACTGAACATTGGTTCAAAATGCCCACCTGTGATTCCATGAGATGAGCTAAAGGTCTTGTCAGTTTAGCTTATTTAATTGTACATTTCTTTATCTTAGGCTTTGAGACCACTACTTAGGCAACTGCCTCTCAAAGCAGTTTACAACTGCAAACATTACAAATCCATGAAATCAACAACAATAATAGAAAGGCAGAGTTGGAAGGGGCCCCTGAGTCCAACCCCCAAATATGATTAAACATTTAAAATAGCCATTTCCTTACAAGGTGTCCAGGCTACAGCTCACAATACAAGAAGAGGGGGAACCTTGCTGGCTTTCAGTGGCCTTGATCTTTATCTCCTCCCAAACTTCAGAACCATTTCAGAAACAGTCAACCACTCCAACATCAATGACACCAAGTGATTAACAAGTGGGTTGTCCCACAAACCTGCCAAAGCTGGTATGCAGGGGAGGAGATGGCACCAGCTGATGTGCAGGGAATTCAATCCTCCTTTCTGCAGGGCTGCTACTACTCTAGCTGCCCTGCACCTAACATAAATTGTGACATCAGGGATGGGGCAAGTGGGTATGGTTTTTTTTTTTGAGGGGGGAGGCCTGGGGGGCCAAATTTGATCCTTGAGCCAGAGGTTCCCCAGCCCTCCTATGGAATTAAAGGAAAAGCTAGTTCTAAAGGACAACATCCAATTTACAGATCACAACCAGGACATAGCAGTATAAAATAGTTTGCCTTACCCTGTTGCACCTCACAGCAGCCTGTGCTGGTTAGGACTCAACTGGGGATAACTGTTGACTCGGCAGCACATTAAAGCCCTCTTGAGCCTTATGAAGACTGGTTGGTCAGAACTTCCTATTAGCCTCCCCCGCCCTTCTGAGGAACTGTCTGTTCTTTTAAAGGACCATTGCCATTGTGTAGCCTTGTTTCCCATGGCATGAAGATGCTGAGGGATGAATCAGAAGGGTGTCCTCTGAGCTAGAGAAGGCCACATTTGGTCTTGAGTGCAGGGGTGTGTGTGATGACTCCCCAGATGATATCTCCTTTCCCTCAGAGTTGGCTTCTGAGCTGAACAAGAGGATTGTGGCCAAGGAACCGTCTGTTCCCACAACTTTCCGTGTGCAACTACGCAAAGATGCGCTTTGAGATACACTCTTGATTTCCCTTCCCCAATCTTGACATGTTTGGTCACTGAAAATGACAACAGCAAGATGACACCACTACCCTGGGCTCTTTGAATCTCAGCACTGGTCATCCCACAGCTACACAGATTGATGTTTTGAAGGCTCCAAATTTTCTTTAAGATTGATCTGGCTGTGATAAAGAAGAGCATCTAGTCAGAAAGTGGGAGGGATCCTCCTGTTTCTGTGGTTTCAAAGCCGCGCGTATGGCTCTAAAGAAGTTCTTTGTCCTGACAAATGGATGAATTATTAATGCCTTCACAAATACAAGGTGGAGAGAGATCTTTTTACATCCTCTGACACCCAGAGATATAATGAGTCTTCCTGACAAGCCGCCATAGCAAAGCAACAGCTAGAACATACCACACGTTACAACGGCGTATAAATAATACATGCTTATTAAAATGAAAAGTTGAGGCAAACAGCAAAGGATGGCTACTACCAGTAGGATTACAGTAAAACCTTATTCATCCAGACCTCCCATTTAGGAAGCCTTTGATGCAATAGGCATCTTTCGTGGCACCTGGTAGCTGCAGGGGGAAGCACTCTTTCTATGAATTGCCAGTGTTAATTGTTGACTTTGATGTATTATCTCTGTTTTCATTCCACACGGTCATGCTGTTCTCTGGAGGCTTCCAGGTTCTTCTCTTTAAAGTACAATCTGGGGGTAAATTATTGGCGTTCATTTCCCTCCCCCCCCCCCATGGAATCTTGGTTTTTTGCTTGTCCAATGCAAGTCTCTTCTTCCCAGTAGCATTGCTACGTTCCACCAATGTGCAACAAACTTTAGAGCTGTGTGTGTGTGATCTGCATTCATATACACACACAAATATAAATTTATTTGTTTTTCCCCCAATTAAAGTTTTACAATCACATATCCAACATACAACATATAAAAACAAGGTTCCAAATAATCTTCTGGACTTCTCTCCTCCTCATTTGTGGGTCCTATTGTTAGTCATTTCCTCCTGCATCTTTTATTATAATCCAAATCTTTTAAATCTCCATCATATCCTAAATTCACCATTAAACTACAAATGTTATTCCAATCCTGCTAACGATTTTAACTGTTTACAATGTTTTTTTAGGCTAAATTATAAATTTCCCCCATTCCTTATTGAAATTTTGGTCTTTCTGATTTCTGAGTCTTCCGGTCATTTTTTGCCATTTCGGCATAATCCATCAACACACACATATAAACACACACACACTAACATTTTTCCATCATGCAACTCAGGTATGTCTTCCATCCAGACACTGGCCAGACCAAGCCTGCTTAGCTCTGCATACTTAAAGGTAAAGGTAAAGGTACCCCTGCCCGTACGGGCCAGTCTTGCCAGACTCTAGGGTTGTGCGCTCATCTCACTCTAAAGGCCGGGAGCCAGCGCACCCCACCGCGGGGATTCGAACTGCCAACCTTTCGATCAGCAAGTCCTAGGCGCTGAGGCTTTAACCCACAGTGCCACCCGCGTCCCTTTGCATACTTGCATCATGTCTAATCAGAACACATCCTGATCCCAGGTTAATGATGAATGGTTAAGGATGGGTCCAGAATTCCTATGGCCACTGGAAGGGTGAGGAGACTCCTTGGACCTCAGAGAGAGAGGGGTGCCTTGATGGCAGAGGCTGATAGAGCCAGGCAGGCCTGTGAAGAGGACTACCTCTACCTCATCCAAACCTCCTAGAACACAGAAGATCAGGAGAAGGACTGTGACTCAGTGATACCATGTTGGCTTCCCATGCAGAAGGTCCCAGGTTCAAACCCTGGCATCTCCAGGCAGGGCAGAGAGACACCCCTGCTTGCAACTCTGGAGAGCTGCTGCCCATCAGACCAGGGAATACTGGTTTGCGTGGGCCAGTGGTCTGAATCAGCCTAAGACGGCTTCCTGAGTTCCTAGGTTTGGATGGCTGTGCCCACCTTGTGGAATTCTGTTAGACTTCAGAATGGACAAGTTTAGAAGTGCACTAGGATAACAATAGCTTTCGAAAATAGAACTATGAAATACTGACTATTCTTGAGCTCCACAAAGAACTAGATGTAGAAAAGGCCCCCACATACCCGTGTTTTCTCAAACCCCTTAATGCTGCCTTTTGTAACTTAAATCAAATTGGGCTTGCTGAATGTGTGATGGCCTATCACGTGTCCAAACCCTTCGTATAAATTGCTTTGCTGTGGATTCCACTCCTTGGGGACCGTCAAAGAGAAGAAGAAGAAAAAGGCATTATTTCAAATCAAATCAAATATCTTTAATACGGTCAATGACCAGCAAGCAATTTATAAAATAAAATATGACAATATAAGTACTATTGTACTACAGATAACAGTGGACATATGGCCAAATCACAAAATTGGTACTTATGTTTATGACCAGGTTTCGACTTTTAAGGTTTTAAGGATTCAGTTCAAATTTTACTACTGTTTATTATCGTTCCTTCGATGTTTGCAATTTGAACTCCGTTGCTGTCATCATTGCTCGTCTTATTCTTGTTGCAATGTAACAGTACTTCGCCACAGGCCTGTTGATTTCGGGGCATTATTTCAATACATGCATAGTATGATGCAAGTTTTAAATTAGATTGGATTTTTATTATCTTGGATAAAAAGCAACGGCAGCTACAAAATCACAATTGTACGCCCGACAGTAACAAACTACTGTAAAATGCAAGGCATGTCCCAGTAACATAAGCAAGTCTCATGGTGTTGTCATTCCACTTCTCTTACAATCAGTGACATGCTTCTGCACAAAATCCTGTCTAATTTTCACACTAGAGACAGGAAAGCCTACTGCCTTGAACATTATGCTGAAAACTGTCCAGACCTATGTTACCTCCTCTGCTCTTTCAGATTGGCTTTTAGAATGCAGAGAATAAAATCTCCTGGGTTTTGGCAGGTATGTTAGAGAGGATGGTCTATGAAGATGTTAATTAAAACCATAGAAACAGATTTGCCTTCAGGATTATAATGAGGAGGGGGGTGATGATAGGTTAGCTTAGCTGACAATATTCTCTGAGGGAATCATCTTCCAAAACAGCTCTTAGCCAAGGCCAGAAGGAACTGCATTTGCCACCTCCACCAACGTGAGTCACACTGCCTTAATGTATATAATTAAAGTGATATGCACCTCTTAAGGAGGCAGAGGTGAAGCCAAATTAGATGGGTGATGGAGGACATCGCTCAAGTACGGTCCCGTGAGCAATGTGAGAAGTGGTACATTTAATAAACTGCTTAATGAACTTTGGTTTTTCGGAGGCATAGGGGAACACTTTTGTCTTAAGCATTGTAAACACAGTAATTGGTAACCTGGCCTTGTTTTCAAAGGTGATGCAGCTGCGACTTCTGCTGAACATGCCCAGGGCTCTGTAGCTAAGTATATGCTTCACATTTCTGTGGTCTTTCATTCAAGCCTGAGCCAGTGACAGCGTGGAAAAGATGAATGCAGGAGTGCCTGAACAGCTACTGCCAGCGAGGTTTGGGCCATTGTCATAATTCTGCAAATGGCTTCATAAACACTGCAGGTGGCTGAAAGATACCAACCTGCCAACCTATTTCTGTACACTATCTGCCCAGGGCTCCAAGGTGCCCAGGTATACTTCTCTCTGTACGCAACCCTTCTGCTTCAAAGAATCAGGTACATTCTCTGGAAATGTGGTGTTGGGAGAACACAAGTACCACAATGAGAGCCAATGTAGTACAATGGTTGGAGTGTTGGATTAGGGCCTGGGAGATCAGGGCCTAACTATGAAGGTTCCCACTCTGCTATGAAGATCACTGGGTGACCTCAGGCCAGCCACTACCTCTCAGCCTAACCTACCTCACAGGGTTCTTGTGAGGCTAATTGAGGAAGGCAAGAACCATGTGTGCCACTTTGAGCTCCTGGGAGGTAAAGCTTCTTGGTGGAAAAGGTGAGCTATAAATGCAACAAGCAAACAAATGAACAACTCCATTATTGTTTCAATTGCCTTAGGAACACAGAATCTGGATTGCTTTCCCTTGGTTACAATCAAGCCTGAGTGCTTTGAGAAAGGTAGTACATCATTCATGACAAGCAAAACTCACCATTTCTGTATTGCTAAATTTCACTTGTAGTCTCTGGACCAACTCCCACATTTTGCAACTCAAGTACGTTCACATTCATTACAATATGCATTTAATTCCATATGCGGGTATGGATCTGTTTGGGAATATATGATGTAGCAGTGCAGATAGCAATCTTGCATGAACAAATAAATATCCAAAGTCTAAAGAAAGGATGGGGAGCCTTTGGCCCTCCAGATGTTACTGCAACTCTGGAGGGCCACTCATTCCCCATCCCTGCTTTAGACTTTGTTTAAAATATTATCTTCATTTGCCAACACAATATTTTTATCTGCACTGCTAATTACCAACTACAAGTTGAGTCCAGACTTAATCATGCTTTTAGACTCCTTGAAATCAAATAGTCTTAAATTATTCTCATTCATTTCATTAGGTCTATTCTAAACATGGCTGACTCCATACCAATTTATTCCTATGTTTCATGCAGTGCATATATTTGTGTAAATAGACATTAATGACATATCATCAGTGCTGAAGTCCCCTATCTTTGGTATGCTATTTATTAGCCTCTGGCTGGTCAATTTAAATATGGGTTCTCTTCTCAATTGTTTGCATCTCAAGGAGTCTGGTTAGGAATTTATGAGCCATGATTCTACATGAGAACAATATATTATTATTAGTCTGTGCTCACTCTCTGGAATCACATCAATTTAACTCTGCCACTAATGACAAAATGAGGAAAAGCTGCAGTTGGTGTGGAGACTAGAAAGGCGAGAAGAAAAGAAAACATACAGATCTGGGGTAAGTCATCACACCTTCTAATAGCAAACTCACCCAATGAGTGCCAACATGATTGCAAGCAACACACAGCCACTGAGGAACAAGAGGGAGGTACCAGCATGCTCAGGGGAAACCCAGGGTTTGCAGAAGCCACTGAGAAACTGAGCAAAGAGGATGCCCAGCAGCCACCCTCTTTTCAATGTCTTACTTCATTCTCTCGCGCAGTTTAATACCGTGATCTTAAAAACATCACAACAATTTGGACAAAGCTCCATATATAGTCATACCTTGGTTCTCGAATTTAATCCATTCTGGAAGCCCATTTGACTTCTGAAACCATTCAAAAAGAAGACGCGGCTTCCGATTGGCTGCAGGAGCTTCCTGCACTCAAGCGGTAGCTGTGTCGGATGTTTGGCTTCTAAAAACATTCAAAAACTGGAACACTTACTTCTGGGTTTTCAGTGTTCAGGAGCCGATTTGTTCGTCAACTAAGCCGTTCGGGAACCAAGGTATGACTGTAGTCCAACAAACCAGCCCCATCATTAGACAGAGTGAGGGAGTTGGTATGGATGTTACGAAAGGGTCACAGACTGTTTAATTTATTATTATTGTATTTCTTCTGCCAGGGAGAGGGGGGCTTTCTGCCTTGGGTGGCAGAATACCATTAGGAACCATTAATTTGTAGAGAGGGCCATTTTTTTGCTGCTCCACCTCAGTCATCAAAATATCTTGGGCTTGCCCTGGCTGAACTTCTCTGTATAAAAATTGCTGTGACATGAAGACATGCTCACACTTCCCCTTGTGGCCAAACATAGCAGCACAGGCATCACTATAAGCCCAGAAGTGTCGCAAGGAAGCAGAGTTTCAATTTGTTAAAATGTCAGTTATAATTAGCGAGTAATCAGTTCAACATTTGTAAGTGACATTTTTACACGTTTAAAACATACTGGGAGTGAAGCCCTCTGTTATTTACCCATTATTTTTTTTCTGGATGCAGTGCCACATCAGAGAGCTTTGCAGCTAGAGAGAAGGAGCGATGCAGCAGCACCTACAACAAATCCAGGATGATGACTGCACCACAGCCTGTACGCTGCTTGATCATTAGCCAAAGTCTGCTTTCTGAGCGAGTGTCAAAGGCAGTACGTGGGCTCTGAAAGAAGACAGGCAGAATGTTGTCTTCCACTGTGCTGAGACGTGCAGGGACACACACGCTTCTGTTCCCCATAATACTGAAACCAGCAGCTGTTAACAAGGAGTGGGATTAAAAGCAAAAAAGAAGAGGGGGGGGAGGAGTGGAAAATATGATCCTTGACCAGAATTCTCAATTCTGCGTTGCTGCCTGAACCTAAAAATAGGCCGTAAATAAGCAAAGGTTTTCAGATAGTGAGACTCTTTCATATGGAAGCGTTGATAGGATTCATACCTGGGAGCATTCACAACATACAATTGAAGCACATTTGAAGCGGATGACACCACACCCATGCAAACAATCCTGGGAACCATGGTTTGTTAAGGGTGCTGGAAGGTATAGCTCTGTGAGGGGGTAAACTAGATTTCTCTTGATACTTTGTGGGAGGCAACAAGCTTTAAATATATGGTGTGTGCGCAGCCATTGTCAGTACGGAGGGAAAAGCCAGCAATTTTTTTCATTTAAAGGTGCCAATCTTTTTGCTGAAAAACAGAGTGTTGTTGCCATGTATTGGTGAAACAAACTGCACAGAAATGGAGATCCATATGCATTTTTTAGGAATGTTTTGAAAAGTCTGCTGAAGTAACTTGCAGAGCTTATTCTGATGCGTATAGGGATATATTTTATGTATCCAATGTATTTGTTCTTTAAAACTATTATTATTGTTATTATGTCATAATACAGTCGTATTATGTAATTAATACATAATAAGGGAAACACTGGCCTGTGAGCGCTCCAGTTGGAGATCAGCCTTTACCAAAGGTGTAATGG